TAGTAGGAGAAAACGTCTCTTGTTTTCGTACGTACCCGCTCCCTAGGATCCGAGCTATCGTTCTGCGACCGCGCGCTTGGTCTCCTTGCGAGTCCAACTTTCCTCGAGCCCCCGCACGTAGCAGGGGTTCGATCAAGGGTCAGCTTGAATTTGTGATTGTTGCCCCATCCATGGTTTCCTCAACCATGGGGGTTGAACTAACGTTACTTGTCTCGATGGCTCGGGTGACGCGCTCGGTGAGCTTGCTAACGAGCATGTTCGTGTGGAATCTAGGCCGTCGTTCACGATGGGCTTGGCAAAGCCTTCATGTGGCATTCCACTGCTCCTTAACCCGCCTTCCAACAATGCCCCCTCAATGGGGATTCTATGGGCTTAGCAGGACGTTAGGATCGAACGAGAAGGTTGAGATGACCCTATCCGCTTCTAGGCGGGTCAGGCGAAGGGCGCTGGGGCTCATCTGGTTTTCTCCCCTAGCTCTTGTTCAACATGAGGCGGCCTTGGACCCTCCGTGGGTCAGCCTTCGAACCCCGGTCTCCTGATTTAGGGTCGGGTGGCTCGAGCCCCCGAGCCTCGTGAGGCTCGGTAGGGGTTGGCCATGTTTCACGTGTTACCCCGCCCTTGGATTTCACAACCTAAGGTGACTCATCGTCTGTCTGCGATCGCGTGTTCGGTCTCTTTGTGATGCCGAGCCCCCGAGCCCCCACACATAGTAGGGGTCCGGTCAGGGGGTCGGTTCATCTTATGATCGTCGTCCCTCACGCGTCCATTCGCTAGAACGGAGGGGTTGAGCCGTGCTGTGCTTTCCTCACAAGATGGAGCACGGTGCTCGGTGAGTTTTTAACGGGCTTGTTCGAGGGAGCCCCGGCATCCCCTTTGTGGGGGCCAGTTCGAGGTCAGCTGGTGACTAACTTCAGATTCTTGGTGGGCGGTCCATATAGTTCCCGGATCTGTTCGACTGGTCCGAGGGCTCGATGCCTTTCTTTTGGGGAAAACCATGGACCTCGCATCATCCAAGACTCAAAACGAGGGTCAGGACGCCCACGGCGCTTCGCGCACCTTGGGTATTGGCCGCTAGCGGGCCCATCCTTAACCTCTCCTCACTCTAGGGTGCCCTAGAGTGGCCATGAACCCATTGGTGGGCTAGCCTTTGAACTCCTGGGCGTTAATGGGCCATAGGAGCATTTTTAGCTCCGTATCCCACTTACCTGCGGCGTCCCATAGCCTTTGAAGGTGAACCGTGGCTCGTCGGATCCTTCCGGTGAAGATTTGGATCGGCATGCGCTCATCTCTCGGTAGCTTCATTTAGTCGTTCGATCGACCTGGGTATAGGATTTACTTCAATGATAAGAGTGATGGATTCAGGAAGCTCTTACCGGGTATGATTGAGCGGGATCTGGGTTCGTTGTTCGCAACGGGGTCGGCACGACCCGCACAGGGCATCCCGCTGCTCCCTCCCCGTTTCATGGTGTCGGTCAGGCCGTCCATTTGACTTGTGTTACCTACTAGGACAAGGTTTTCCTGTGGAGATAGAGGATGAGGACATCCCGCGCAAGAAATTTAGTTAGGAAGATAAGATAGGCGGAGAACTTATAATAAATGGACAAGCTCTTAAATTTTGTTATAGCAAACAACTTTTTAGCTCTTCTCCCCTTTTTGTATAAAAAGGCTAGTGCATTCTGACCCTTTTTGTCGTTAAGGCCATAAAAACTCGGGATGCGGGTGAACCAATTCTGATCACGCTGGTTAGCAAAGATGCCATAGCCGCTAGGGCATAGGTTTCCTGAAGCTCGTTCGTTATACTTAGAGTTTGTTCTCAAACCTAGCTCCTAGGTCTTAACGTGAAAGAGGGTTGGGCACTAAGAACGTTTGCTAGGTGGATAGATTTTTAAAGCGTACCGGCCCTTTTCATGGCTAAGGCCAAAAATCCCGAGGTGCGAAAAGAAACTCTGATTACGCTAGTGAGCAAAGGTGCCGTAGCCGCTGGAGCATAGGTTTCTCGCGGTCCAACCAGCTTTACTCAGGATTTATTTTCGCAAACTTTGCTTTTGGGTCTTAATCATGAGAAAGGGTCGGACGTAGAGATTGTCTAATGGATAGATATGTTCTTATTAGTCCCCGAGTGAGACTCGACCCCACCGTTTCTTGGGGTCGGATGTCACAAAAGATCGGGGAGTTCGACAGCGAAACTAATAATAAGAGGAAATGTGCGTTTGTTATGGGTAAAAGTGACATAACTGGTTGATGTTACAAACATTGACAAAGACCTTGCGGTTGATGGTCTTGAACTTGTAGGCGCTTGGCCGGAGCATCTCTATGATGACGTACGGTCCCTCCTACGGTGGGGAGAGCTTGTGGCGGTCTTTGCATATTTGGCCGAGCGAAGGGGGCGACGTCGCGCGCTTCGTCAAGCTGGGCTCCGTCCTATGCTCCCCCTTGTTAGAGCTTTCAGACAAGAACCGCTTAAGAGAATGCAGTCCTTATACATGTGCTTGATGGGGAAAGCATGGTTCGGACATGGCCCTTTAAGCAGCTTCTCGAAGTGGCTCGAGGTGCCATCCATAGGCTTTCGGCCCTCCGTACAGTCGGCGTCGGCCGCTAGCGAGCTCCCGTGTCGCCGCTTGTTCTTCATTTTGTTGGGAGGCTTGGAGGCACCTTTGTCGGTGTCCTCGTCCCGCTTTACCTTGCCCTTGAGGGTCTATCGACCAAAGGCCTGAGGTCCCGCCAAGTCGGGGCTTGGACTTGATCCTCACCACTGTCATAGCGTCCGCCACATCGTGGGTGGTAGCCACGACTGGCCCCCTCCTTCGAGTCACCGCAGGCATGCCTGCGGGCGTCGAGGGTGTCGCGGGCATCGCGGTGGAGGCCGAGACACTCATGCACCAGAACCGCGGTTCACGGCCCACCGCTCTGTTGGGCCTAATGGACCGTACGTCCTCTTTGGGTTGTTCTGAGGGCGCTTCACGTCTGCGAGCGTCGGGGGTGTCACACGCATTGTAGTGGAGCTTCGAGACGCTCGTGCATCGAAATCATGGTATGTGGCCTTCCGTAGTCGAGGCTGAGGAGCTGGTTGCTTTCGGGGGTGCAGACCTCCGGTGTAGGTAGCTGCAGCCCCTCTGGCACCTCGGTGATTGCGTCGAGGTCGGTGAAGAGGTGGGGTTACGTGGCAGCGGAAAGCCACACCAACTCTCCCTTCGTCATGGCGATGAAGTCCAGGTTCGAAACGCACGCGTGCGCCCGAGACCCAATTAACATTGCGATTAGCCATCCGAGGCCTGGTGTTGATGTAGATGCGCCCAAAAAGCCCCTACCTGGCGTGCCAACTGTCGTTGTTTCGAGTAAGCACCAACGAGTAAATTTGTATATTGCGCGTCTGACCCGGATGGTGTGCTAAGAGGACACAAGGATTATACTGGTTCGGGACGAATGTCCCTACGTCCAGTTTTGGCCTACTCGTGTTAATAGCACTGAGTTTGTAGTAGGGGGTTACAAACTGGCTAGAGAGGGAGGTAGCTCCCAAGTCTTTGAGGTTCGGTTGCTGGGTACTCGATGTCTAATGCGGTGCGATGAACCGATGCCCCCTAGTGGGACGCCCTGCTTTCCCTTTTATAGACCAAGGGAAAGTAGGAGTTGCAGCCTAGGGGAAGAGGGAAAGAGAACAGAGAATGGGAGTCCGAGGAAGTCCTTCAGAGTCATCGATCCTTTCTTCTCCTCCGTCGCGGGCCCCTCTGACATGGCAAGTGGCGACATGGACAGCCCCATGATGGGCGCCTGTCGCTGACACAGCCATGCCCTGGCATTTGTCAGCAGGTCATATCGTCCCGCTTTGCCCCGACGGGCGGTGCGGTGAACCAGTCGTGTTGATCAACGGCCGTACAGGGAGTGGCAGCATAGTGACCACATGTTCATCCCTGTAGGCGATATGAGTTCCTGGGAATGACATGTCGTGGGGACGGGTCATGCTGAGACATGACCGCTTCCTGCACGATGCCAGAAGTTTGACCCTGGGTAGTACTTTCTAGCCCGTTGTGGTTGGCAGCGGCGTGAGCTTCCGTTACGAACCGTGTCCGAGGGATTGGGCAAGGCGGAGCTAGCCCTCAGACATCGGACAAGGCGGAGCCAACCCTTGGGGGTCGGACGAGGCTGAGCCAACCCTCAAGAGTCAGCAGAGGCGCTCCCAACCCATGGGGGATCGGGCGAGGCGAGCCAGACCCTAGACATCGGCGAGGCGGAGCCAACCCTCGGGGGTCGGACGAGGCTGGGCCAACCCTCGGGAGTCAACCGAGGTGTACCCAACCCTCGAGGGGTTGGACGAGGCGGAGCCCGTGGCCCTAGTGTCCACTGAGGCAGAGCCAACCCTCAGGGGTCGGACGAGACGGAGTCCATGGCCTTGGTGGTTGGACGAGGTGGAGCCCACCAAGAGGTGTAGTCGTGCCCTTGATCGCTCTGATGAATTAGAGTTGATGGGCATTAGCTCCTCCTCTTTGGGTACCCTAGTATTGGTCCCCGACAAGATGGTACAATTTATCATGGCTATTACAAAAACTGCTTCTATCTCGCCGTGGACGAGGAGTAAGCCATAGGCAGGCATCTCTTATTAATCCCTCTCTTATGCTTTTGTGGAAGTGTAATCATAAGCTGGCACTATATTTAAACAATGTTGCAGATGTTGGTTTGAAACTTTTAATTTGCTTCCGCTACTATCTTACCTGAACGTGGTTTGTAATAACTTTAATTCGTACTCTGATGGATGAACTGTATTTATGAACTTTATGTAACGTGTGACATATACGTTGAATCATGTACGATCTTGATTGTATGTTGGTTGAATCGAGACCCTTCGCGGTACTCGACGGACTACCGGGTTTATATGGGCTCAAGTATGACAGTGCGACCGCTGGCTCCATTGTACTTATGCTCTTATAAATTGGTCGGTTCTGCTACAGTCACCACATCATATGGGACCCAAGGTAAGGAGAGGCTAAGAAAGGTCACCACATCATATGATAGGTACCATGGTGATGAGGACGATGCTACAAAGGTCACCACATCATATGGAAACTAAAGGTGAGCAGGACATGAAGAAGGTCACCATGTCATATGGATCTCATCAAAGTGAGGAGCACTCATTGAGAATCACCATGCCAGAAAACAAACAAAGTACAAGTGAGAAAGGTGACACAAGTAAAGGTCAGCTAATATATTCTGAAAATCTAGCATAATGATGTAAACATTTTATATATTTTAAAACAAGTTTGTAGAAATATGCTAGAGTCTATTCTTTAATAAGATCAGCAACATTCTGAATCATGTGATGATATATAGGTAGCGGGAGAACAAGTAATCTTTGATTATTTATTTCAACTAATAGAAATGATGAATATGACACCTAAAGATAATACTTTTGAAACTTTTGAGTTTGGGCAGAGCAAGAACTTTTAGTTGGAAGAAAACTAAGACTTAATTTTTAAATATACATTTTCAGTTAGGTAGAGGAATATTTATAGAATAATAGTGCCTCATTAAAAAAGTGCAACTGATGCAATTGTAGCCCCTACATGTCCCATCTAAATTAATTCAACGCCTCATTTCATCCATTCGCCTCCTCTCTCTCCTTATTTAATCACTTAATTTAGATTAATTGGCTTTCTTTTATTTAATCATGTTTATGAGCATTTAATAGCCTTGGCCATACTAAAATATAGCCTCAATTTTATCATGTTTGGTATTAAATCTAATAAGGTTTATTGAGCTCCTCAACACTAATTTATTTTACAATAAAACTTATTTGGGAGTGAATGAGTTAAATGCTTTAAATTATGTTGTAGGCCATAAACTTACACATCAGGCTTCAAAATGGGATATTTATGGTGTCTCAAACTTGTTTCAGGGGACATCCATGACCATGATGTTCGCAGCCACAGCCACAGCCACAGCCACAGCCACAGCAGCGGCAACAATCTAGCAGATGTTTTCTTCTTTCACGATGTCCTACGTCCAGGGTCCGTAATCACGCCGACCATTCCACCGACCACCTCCTTACCATCTCTGCTGCCTCGCCGCGAGGCTGATGCCCTCCCGTTCTCCACCGAGCGCTTCCCCGACATCCTTGCCATGTTCGCGCCAACGTCCGATGCCATGGGAAAAGAGATATGGTGGACGCTTGACACCTGCGAGAACCCACAGCTGCTCCCTGGTGAGAAGGCTGCCTGCGCCACCTCCCTTGAGTCTCTCGCTAAGCTTCCTGTCGCCCTCCTCGGGACACGCAACGTCCGTGCTTTCTCTGGTGACATGCCCACCGATCCTACGGGCACATCGGCGCAACGCGGGAGGTACAATGTAACGGCCGTGCGGAAGCTCTCCAAGTCACTGACTGCAGCGACATGCCATGACCTGACATACCCCTACGCAGTGTTCTACTGCCACACGACCAACCCAGTAGCCACATACCTGGTGAAGCTAGTGGCCCAGCATGGCAGGGTGCCAGCCATGGAGGCGTTGGCTGTGTGCCACCTCGACACATCGCTGTGGAGTCCCAGACACCCATTCTTAGTGGCGCACAGTATCAAGCCAGGGGATGCAGTCGTGTGCCATTTTCTCTCTAAGCTGAGCATCGTCTGGGTCCCCGTTGGCGAGCAGGGAGGCATGCGTGAAGCCTAGTAGCGTTATCATTTCTATGAGCTTAGAGCTCTATCTTTGGCATGGTTGTAACCTATGGACCTAAAGTGGCTCTACTATACTGAATAAAAGCTGCGTCAATCATGTATTGTGATTTTTTTTAGCAATGTGCTATCCAAAACTATAGTCCCTAAAGTGGAAGAATTCATGCATTTAGTAAGCAAATGTGAGAAAGGATTAGCCGACACTTCTTTCCTCTCTCGAGCTGGAAGACTAGAGCTAGTTAACTATATCTTCTCATCTCTTCCTACATTCATTATGAGCACTCTCTCCCTCCTTACCTCAATCATTAAGCAAATTATCAAGTATAGAAAACACTGCTTATAGAGATGGGCTGAGGCAAATGCAAGGAAAACACCAAAAGCATCATGGATAATGGTTTGCAAAACAAAGAAAGAAGGTGGTATAGGGGTTCTAAATCTCAAAACACACAATGAAGCACTTCTGAAAAATCTACACAAATTCTACAACAAAATCAACATTCCCTACGTTGACATGGTACAGGAGAAGCATTACTCTAGTGGAAAGTTGTCTAAAGCTTGTAGACAAATATAAAGGGTACATTTCAACCATTATATTTGATGGTAAAAGCTGCTTTCTCTAGGAAGACATGTGGGATAACAAAGTGCCAAGATTACTCTTTCCTGAACTTCACTCATTTGCAAAGAACAAACTAATCACAGTGGATAAGGCCTGGAGAATGAATGAAGCCTCCAACCTTTTTCTTCCTTCCTCTCTCCAAGCAAGCACATGCTCAATTTCTACAGCTTGTAGCCTTTCTCGACAACCTGAACTTATCACAAGTTTCAGATTCTTTGAACTACATTTGGAGCTCTCAAGTGTTTTCTACCTCAAAAGCTTACAAGGCCCTATCTGGACATACAAAAGTTCACCCAGCTTTTGCTTGGCTTTGGAAATCCACTTGCTAAACGAAGCATAAGGTATTTCTCTATCTAGTTCTAAAAGATGGGCTATGTCAAGAAACTAAAAAGGCAACTAACACTTAGGCTAATTTGGCTTAAACTAATTGGACTTAGTGGCTAATTACTGATTAGAGGGGGCCTAATTTTTTTTGGGCTCGACGTGGTGGCCACTTGAGCCGCGCAATGTACGACCCTAATTGGAGCCTTACTGTGTAAACAATAGTAGATACCTAGACAAAGAAAACATGTTAATGCGAATCATAACAAAATTGTATAAGGGTACTAAGCATCTGTTTATTTCAACTTTTATCTGGCTTTTGCCAGCCAAAAGCCAGAAACTGAAACAAACAGGCCAGCTGTTGAGTTATCTCATAAGAAGCTGGAAAGATGGCTTCTGAAGAAATGGACTAAAAACTAAAAGCATGTTGAGGTTGTTGATGTGCTGAGAAGCTAAAAAATTATTAAAAAACCAATAGCAAAAAGACAATATACGGAACTCAAAGCTCGAAAGCTAGCTTTTGAGCCAAAAGCCCAAAAGCTGCAACTCAAACAAATATGCCCTAAGAAAGCAACATATACACATACAGTTCATGTAAACGGTAAACACCCTTTATAAGCACTAGTTACTTAGAGAACACACCAGTAATACTAGGGATAAATTCTGCAACTAGCATGTAACCTATAAAAAATCCAACAAGAATGCAAATAGCCTAGGTTTTTAGTAAACCATAGTTGAACCTCATCGCTCCTCCTCGTGGAGACAAGTTAATTTGATATTGATGCATTACAGATCAAAGGTGAGGCTACGTAGAATGTAGTCAAACAGCCTTAAGTAGAGTCACTCGTGCAGGCTAGTTGCTTTAGTATGGCAAGAACTTGGAGATACCACTCATCCTCTTCCTTGGTCCATGCTAAGGATTGTAAGGTGACGTCTGGTTCAATAGACAACATCCTCTTTGAGTTGGTGCTTGGATGAATAAGAAGGAGGGATATTCACCTAGGATGTAGGGTAAGCTCATGCCTGAAAATCAGGCGAACGTACCCACCCCCTCATCATGTCTTCAATGCAATAGAGCAATAGGCAAGGCGCGTCCTAAGCTCTAGCAAAGGTTGCCATGGGTGAACTCGTCGAGGACAGTACGAACGAGCAACATACCTACGGCTGAAGACGTGCCGGAGTAGGGTGGATCCATGGTCAGGACGTCCGAAGATGGGGACTGAGCAGTTGGGCCCAGGGCGAAGATGGTAGGGGCTGCTAGGGCGAGGGCATGGGCCGAGTGCTGGGCACAAAGACAAAGATGGAGGGAGCGGCTGGGCACAGTGGAGAGGCTGGGTTAGAGCGGCTGAGGGCGAGGCGAAGTGGCCGGACATGGGGAGGAGAGGCGGGGTCAAAGTGGCGGGCCACAAGGTCGGGGTGGCTGGATGCGGGGGAGGAGAGGCGGGGGCCGAGCGACCAAGCACAGGGATGCAATGGTTGGATGTGACAGAGGAGGAGATGCGAGGGTCGAGTGGTAGGTGCTAGGGAAGGAGATGGCTAGGGCGTGCTAGAGCATGTCATATGAAGGAAAAGGCAAAGTAGAAGGTAGAAGGAGGTGGAAAGAAGCTGAAATGTGGGTCCCACCTTAACGGTTGCAAACAGATACGGGACAATCCTCCATCTTCTCTCTTCCCGTCCCTTCTATCAAACACAAAACAAGGATGACTATGTCCAATCAACCAAATAGAGACACATAATCATTCCATCCTAGAAAACTACTATATAAAGCTCTTATCCTACCATATCTCCATACCAAACACAACCTAATCCATCAGCTCAGCATGACAGAACAAATTACAAGTATAGTATATTGCCCATGCTAACACCGCGGTAAAATAAAAAAAAACATGTTTATGAAAAATGAAGTAAATTGTGAGACAGATTCACAGATCGTCCCATGCTGCTCTGCGCCTTCCGCTGTCTGATAGCAGTGGGGCCTCAGCTGCTTCAGAAGTAGGATTTTCATTGAACGTACCAAACGTCCCATACTGCCGTGCGCCTGGTTGTATATTTGCATTGCTCTCAACCGAACTTGCAGCACCATACTCTGAATTAGACATGAAGAACTCTAACACCATTTATTAAATTCAATCATAATTCATAGTGCAGGCATGCACATTTCCATGGAAAAACTTTAAGAAATAACTAAAATGACAATATGGTACTTGCAGCGTCCAATTTTCTATTTTGTATAAATGAAATAGACCATGTGCACTGCAACTGCAGAAAACTGCATTGATAACCAAAATGTGGATTAGCTACTAAAAAATCAAAGTGAGGTCAACAAATAAAAAAAAACTTGAACAAATCTAACACGAAATACACCTGAAAACTGAAAATTCTTTTCCTGCTATGGAAGCAGCAATTGATTGTTATTCAATTGTCGACTGAAGAAATCAACAAGCTGTTGCAAAAGCAGCAGTACCGTAAGCTCTTCATTGTCCATTTCAGTCCGTGCTCTCCTAATGTCCAGAGTGACAGACAGCCAAGTCCCTTGTCGTGCAGCTGGCGTTCCCTACAACAGGGTTTGAGAATGAATTAGAGCTTGGTAGATATGAAGGTCTTGTTGATCACACTAAAAACACATCAACTGGTACTCGGCAGTGGCATCTGGTGGATGAACCTCGGAGCGATGGTGTGCGGTTCGAAGTGAAAAATAATAATCCTACATGCTCCTAGTAACCAGTAATATGGTCTTACTTTATGATAACTATTTCTTGCTTCATGCCTTAGACAAGAAAATAGAAGAAATCATAACAGATGAGGATGATTTAGTACTCTTAACTGTGGCAATTATATAGATACAATTATCCTTAAATAGGTTGGTCATATAACTTGTCGTCGTTGCTTTTCTTGACGTTGTCAATCGGCCTGTTCGCTGGTTGGTTTCTGGGCTGATAAGCCTGGCTGGTGCTGGTTTGGTATGAGAGGAAAACACTGTTGGCTGCCTGATAAGCCTTGACTGAAACCAACAAGCGAACATGCTGAATAAGTGAGAGAAGCTTCTGTACACAGAACTCACTCGTGAAGAGCTTATCCCTGGGGACATTTCCACGGTTCCAGGATGTAGCAGGATGCAGGCAATGTTTGTAATTTTTCAGCAGGTCCGGAGAACCATGGGTCACTGTAATTGAGGCCGCGGTTACCTGCACGGGAAGAATCAACGTGCTGTTCGGCTGATGGTTTTTGCGGCTGATAAGCCGGTTGATGCTATTTTATTATGAGAAAAAAACACTGTACCATAGATGATAAGTTCAAAGCGAACAGGGTGCAAATTTTCATACTAACCGTCATTCACGAAACAATATATGTGCAGTGCAAATAAGTAGAACCAGTTTGCAATGTGGGCAATACGCGTCAGGTACACCGCCCCATCATGGCCAGGCGCACGGACAAACCGCCGGCATCACTCCCCGTGCCCTGCCACCGTGTGCGGGGGAGGCAATGCGCCGCAATGGGGGGCTCGCTCGCCGGCGCAGATCGGGGGTGATGAGGACATGGCACCTTCGGATACGAACAATGATTATAAGGTGCGCTTGTTCCTATATTTGTATAGTGGCTTTGGTTATAACTCACTTGGTTCCACATGTACATGTCACTATTTGATTGTATGTTCAAATGTGTTTCATAATAGAAGTTCATCAAAGTTGAACTTTCGGTTCGTCGGCAGCCCGACAGTGCCTCATTGGGAAGGCCATAACTCATCCATCCGGAGTGCGATCGAGGTCAATGAGCACTTGATGGAAAACTTGTTTGATAAGCTTTCAAATAGATCTGGTCCCATCTCAATATCACGTCGGCAAGGCCTCCAAATCACCAATATATTCTGTCGCTATTTCTGGTGGGAGCTACACTGTCGTCATGGGCTTGTTAGACATCCTTGGGACCCAGGCACAAGTTGGAGCACGCCCCAAGAAAATGGAGAACACCTAAGAGATGGCCTTGGACGTCCTCCTCCTTGGCCACCACCTTAGGAGGCCACCAAGGACGTCCAAGCCAAGCCAGAGGCCCAGTCCAATCCG